TAGGTAATGTAAAGTGCCATTCAAATAGTTACAACATGCTTCTATTTAAATGCTGTCCAAATGACCTTGTTTGCTTTATTCATGTCTACTTCTTCTCATTTTATTTTCTGCTCCAACTTTTATTTTAAATAGCCCCATCAGAAGCCAAATCTTTGCTCTGTTTATTCTTCCAGTGAGGCATTCTAATATCTTTCATTTTATTCACTGCTCTTTATAATTTCAGATTTTTGAAAAACATTTATTGGTAATTATTGCGGGACCTGTGCCATGGAATAGGAGGTTAAGCCAATCTTTACATTGCTGACATGGGTACCAGTTCAAGTCCCAGCTGCTCCATTTCTGATTCAGCTCCTTCGGAAAACCCAGGGGATGGAGGAGATAATAGCCGTAGTGCCCCAGCCATCTGTGTGAGAGACCTGGGAGAAAGTCCAGGATCCTGGCTTCAGCCTATGCCAGCATCATCCATTGCAACCATTTGGAAACGAAACCAGTAGATGAAAGATCTCTCTCTCAGTTCTCTCTCTCTCTCTCTCTCTCTCTCTCTCTCTCTCTCTCTCTCTCTCTCTTTCTCCATCTCTAATTCTACATTTCACATACATAAATCTTTAAAACATAAAGTTTTATATTGCACATTTGTATGGCCTATAGTGCTGTATTTTATCCGTACTTAAAATGTGCACTGATCAAATCAAACCCATAAGTATCTTCCCTTCTCCACCAACATATTATCACAGCAGCCTTGGGGCATCTTTCTGCCACTTACTCCCAGAACGTGTAACAGTTTAATGTGGACCTATTGCACCATTGACTCATTTGATCTCTCCCAGATTTAGTGTCCCTCATAGGAAGCCCCCTCTCCTGTCTTTTGCCCTCCAGCTTCTTATAATAGTTCTTGTGAGTTCAGAATGCATTTTGAGAGCATCTACATATGAGGGAGAACAAGAGATATCTACTTTCCGTATCTGGATTAACAGGTTTTCCTCAGGTTCCATCAATTCACTGTACATGTTAGGACTTCATGCTTTTGTGGCTGAGGGATGTTTCACTGTGTACGGAGACCACATCCAACTGAGGATGGGCACTGTGGTGAGTCCCTACCTTGTAGTGGTGCAATAGGCTAGTGGAGCAAGTATCTGTCTGACATAATGTTTCCATATCTTTTCTGGCACATCTCCCATAGAGGGATTGCCGTACTAAATGGTAGTTCTAATGATCATTCTTGAATGATGAATCCATTAATCAGAGTTACAATGTCCCAATGCAAAAGAAGAGACATAGGGACAATGAATGAGGTTACTGACTCCTCATGCACAGGCAAGCAAAAGTCAACCTCAGATTTACCCAAACATGACATGGAGGAACCGGTGCAGTGGGGGGGAGGGCAGTGTGCTGTAAGAAATTTTTCAGAAATTGTTATAAAGTTCCTCAGAAACAATGAGGAGCACATACAAGAATTCAAGGAATTTAAGGAATATTTAACACAGGAAATAGCAATGTTGAAAAAAATCAAAGCAAATTATTAACAATGAAGAAAAGACAGTAAATTAAAAATTCAGCAGAAAACCTCAATAACAGAATGCGTGAGGCAGAAGAAAGCATCTCAGAGTTGGAAGGCACCTCCTGCAATAGGCTGACATAGTCAAAAGCCTGGAAGATAAACTAAGTAAAACTAAGAAAAACCCGCAGTTAAAGGACACCATGAAAACACCAAACATAGGAGTTATGGGAGTTCCAGAAATGCAGAAAGAGAAGCTGGGTTCAAACACGTATTCAATGAAATGATGTTAAGGACTTGCCTAGGTCTCAGTGCTGTAGCCTAGCTGCTGAACTCCTCACTTAGAATGTGCTGGGCTCCCATGTGGGTGCTGATTCATGTTCCAGTGACCACACTTCCCATCCGGCTCCATGCTTGTGGCCTGGGAAAGCAGTAGAGGATGGCCAAAGCTTTGGGACCTGCATCCATGTGGGAGACCCACGGGAGACTCCTGGCTTCAGATTGGCTCAGTTCCAGCCATTGTGGCCACTTTGATCCTAAAAGTGAACCAGTGGACAAAAGATGTTCCTCTTTGTCTCTCTTCTTCTCTGCATATCTGCCTTTCCAATAAAAACATTAAAAAACTTGCCTAATAAGGAGGGACAACTAGCAAAGAAAATATAGGAGGGACACAGAACTCCCAATAAGGTTGATCAAAAGCAATTTTTGCCAAGACACATCATAATTAAGCTCCCTTATTTGAACATAGGGAAGAGATATTTAAATATGCATGTGAAAAATCAATTAAATTATAGAGGTTCGCTAATCATATTCACCACTAATCTCTCCAAGGAAACCCTACAGGCTACAAGAAAATGGAGTGACATATTTCAGATCCTAAAAGTGAAAAATTGACAGTCCAGAATAACTTACCCAGCAAAACTTTCCTTTGTCTTTGAAAATGAAAGAAAATTCTTCCACAATAAAAGTTCATAGACCTCCTTGCTACAAGACCTTCTTTATAAATGTTATTTGAAGATGCCCTACTGACAGTAAAGGAATAGCAGCTACAAAAACAAAGGTAAACATGGAGAACATACCAATAACATGACAATAGCCAACCCATTGCTAAAATGACAGGATCAAATCACTACATATCTATATTAACCCTGAATGTAAATGGCTTAAACTCATCATTCAAACATCATAGATTGACATATTGGACTTAAAAAAAGAAAAAGAAACCGCTTCTCTTTGTTGCCTACAGGAAACATATCTCAAAGACAAAAATATGAAGAAACTCAAAGTGAGAGGATGAAAAAGGGTATCCCAGGCTAACGGAAAGGAAAAACAAGCTGGTGTGTTGCCAGCCGCATCTGTATGTACTGGCCACATGCCGTACCCAAAATGGCGCCGGCCGGAGAAGCCACACCTTCGTGCGTGGTGGAGAGTCACGTAGCCTCTGCGGTACTGCGCAGGCGCCTAGCGCATGCGCAGTGAGCTGCGGCGTGGCCGGCACGTGAACACTGGGGACTGACGAATCCGGTCGCCCAGGACCCTGCGTGATCATGACGCCGACCTATCATCGGCGGAGGCGGGGCCAGTCAGCACATAAGAGCAGACAGCCTGCCGGGGTCGCCCCCTTTCCTCCTCATCTTGGTGTGCACAATAAATTTTACCGCAGAAGGCTTCACTCGCGCCTGCGTCTTATTGCTGGGCAATAAGACACGTGGGCGCGACACTGGTGTGGCCATTCTCATACCAGATAATATAGACTGTGACGTGAAAGGCATTAAAGGAGATGAAGAAGGACACCACATAATGATCAAAGGATCCCTTCAGCAAGAAGAAATCACCATAATAAATGTATATGCACCAAATGTTAAGGCACCTAGTTTGTGAAACAAATATTAGTGGAGTTAAAGGGAGAAATGACTTCAATACAGTAATAGTGGGGACCTTCACACCCCACTAACTTCAATGGGCAGATCGATGAGACAGAAACTCAGTAAGGAAACAGCAGAACTCACCCAGGAGGCCCTAGAACAAATGGACTTAATTGATATCTAAGAAATCATACATCCTACAGACACAGAATACACTTTTTTTTTCATCAGTACATGAATTCTTCTCCAGGATTATAGGCCACAAAACATGCTTCATCAAATTAAAAAAAAAATTGAAGCCACACCATGCATTTTATTAGACCATCATGGAGTGAAACTAGAGAGCTACAATCAAAAGACCCCAGAAGATGTGCATGTACTCAGGAACTGAGTAATACACTGTGAATGAACAGTGGGTTTTAAAAGAAATAAAAGAGAAGATCAGAAAATTACTTGAGAAGAATAAAGGCAGAAAAGGCAAGATGGCAGCATGGGGTACAGACACATTTGATACGACAGAGAATCTTTAGGCAGGGAGAAGTACAATAAGTAGATTACAGGGAAAAAATAGGGCTCAGCTAGTAAGAAGGGGGTACCTGGAACCCCCCTGAACACAGGGAGGCTGCAGAATGAGACAGCAGTGTGGTAGTGGACCGAAGAACCCACCAGCACCCAGCGAGCAACAACTCAGACCCCGGTGATCCAGGCTCTGGCGATCCAGGCTTCCAGCGCCAGCCAGACATCCAGCAGTGGCCTCCACACAGATGTTGTGACCACCAGGTGAGAACCTGGGTCCACGTGGGGAGCTAGGAAAGCGAGTATAGTCTGGGACCTGACAATCAAGCTGAGTGACTGGGAGCAGCCACAGGCGCAGAAAGAGTAGCAGACTCAGGGCGCCATCTTGTGTGGAGAGGCTGAACTCCGAGTTGACAGAGCAGCACAGAGACTCCTTTCTGGCAGTTCACATGGAACTGATCAAAGGGGTGAGGGGAGCACCAGCTTTGCTCCCTGCAGGGTCAATGTGGTCCTGGAGCTAAAAGCCAGCAGCTGCATTTCTCCACCTGGCCCCATCTCAGGTAGCAGGGCAGCAAGTGTGGACCCCAAGCGAAGGTCCAGAGTGGGTGTGTTGCTAGCTAATTGCACTGAGCTGAGCCCACAGCGCCAGCCTTGCAGCCTGTAGGGTCTGTGTGGTCCCTGGAGCGGACGGCCAGTAGCCCCCTGATCTTTGTTGGTGCCCCTATGGGTGTCATTTTGGACACTGTGGCAAGTGCTCCAAACACTGATGAACTGCAAGAGGAGGAGCAGTAAACTGCGCATGCGCTAATTCAGCAGCTCTCAGATATCAGTGTCACAGGACCAGACACTGTTACACTGAAGGGAGGATAGCTGAGCTGCCCAAGAACTACGCTGGGAACAAAATCACCACCATCTTAGAGCACTGCACAGGCTCTGCAGGAAAAAAAAACAGCCCCTACAAGGCACACCACCAACTCCACCCAAAATAACCCCAGGAGGTACTCAGACTTATCGGCCAGCAGGGGGCGACAAGCTCAGTGCTGCCTACAAAATCAGTGCCACAGACAAAGCAATTATTCAGGACAGCTGTGTTTCCTAAATCTAGAGCACTGATTGAACGTAAAAAAAATCAACTTATATACCTGTAGGTAATAAACCATAGAGATGATTTCATCAAACAGATTGGCAACTACAAAAGGTAAAAGACCCTCGCCTTGCATGCCCCAGGATCCCATATGGGTGCAGGTTCTATCCCGGCAGCCCCACGTCCCATCCAGCTCCCTGCCTGTGGCATGGGAAAGCAGTCGAGGACGGCCCAAGACTTTGGGACCCTGCACCCGCATGGGAGACCTGGAAGAGGCTCCCGGCTTCGGACCGGCAGAGCATCCGCCGTTGTGCTCACTTGGGGAGTGAATCATCAGATGGAAGATCTTCCTCTCTGTCTCTCCTCTCTGTATATCCGCCTTTCCAATAAAAAAATAACAAAAAAAAAATAATAAAAGGTAAAAGACAAAAGCACTATGAATGTTACTGAGGAGTCTCCAACAAAGGAGCAAAGCTTCGCCCGCTCTCAGAGTTAACTGAGGAAGACATTGAGAAAATGGGGGACAAAGAACTCAGGAAACTCATTGCAAAGCTGCTGGTCAACAATGAGAAGTACAAACAAGAGTTCAAAGAAGAAATAGCAGTAATACATCAAATTAAGACTGATATATCAGAAATTAAGAACATAGTAGAGCAAATTAAAAATACAGTGGAGAGTCTCAACAACAGAATGAATGAGGCAGAAGAAAGAATATTAGAATTAGAAGATATTTCCTGTCACCATGAAGAAACAAGCAAAAAGCTGGAAGCAGAGCTAGGTCAGGCTAAAAAAAGTACCCAAGAATACTTCTTTATAAATAAAGAATACTTCTTTATAAATTTTATAAAGAATATTTCTTTATAAAAAACCCAACAGAGTTGACCAAAAACAAACTTCACCATGACACATGATAATCAAGCTCTCTTCAGTTGAACAAAAAGAAAAAAAATATCCTTGAATGTGCACGTGAAAAAAATCAAGTGTCATTTAGGGGAACCCCAATCGAACTCACATCTGGCCTTACAGAAGAAACACTACAGTCCAGAATAGACTGGAGTGACATATTCCAGATTCTAAAAGAGAAAAATTTTCAGCCCAGAATAACTTATCCTGCAAAGCTCTCCTTTGTCTTTGAAAATGAAATAAAATTCTCCCACAATAAAGAAAAACTTCAAGATTTTTGTCTTATTTAAACCTGCCCTACAAATGATACTCAAGGATGTTCCCATGAAAGAAAAAGAAATGGCAACCACCGGAAACAAAGGCAAATGAGGAAAATATCCCACTAAAAGGCTAACAGAAAACCCAAGCATAGAACAACACATCTCCAAAATGGCAGGACCAAACTGCCCCTTATCCATAATAACGCTGAATATAAAGGGCTTAAACTCATCAGTCAAATGCCATAGATTGGAGGACTGGATCAAAAAACAAAACCCAACTATCTGCTGCTTATGGGAGACACATCTCACCAATAAAGATCATAGAAAATTGAAAGTGAAAGGATGGAAAAAGATATTCCAAGCAAATGATAAGACGAGCAGGTGTAGCCATTCTTATATCAGATGACATAGACTTTGATGTAAAGAGCATCAAAAGAGATGAAGAAGGATACCACATAATGATCAAAGGATGCCTTCAGCAAGAAGAGATCACCATAATAAATGTTAACACTCCAAATGCCAAAGCATCTATCTACGTGAAACAAATATTAACGGACCTAAAGGGAGAAATAGACTCCAATACAATCATAGTGGGAGACCTTAATACCCCATTAACACAAATGGACAGATCAAAAAGCCAGAAACACAGCAAAGAAACAGTAGAACTCACCCAAACACTAGAACAAATGGACTTGGTTGACATTTATCGAACCTTTCATTCTACAGAGAATACACATTTTTTTTATCAGTACATGGAACTGTCTACAGAATTGATCATGTTATAGGCCATAAAGCAAGTCTCAGCAAATTTTTAAAAGTGGAAATCATACCATGCATCTTCTCAGACCACCAAGGAGTGAAGCTTGAGACCAAGAAGTCAAAACACCAAGGAAGACATACAAATATATGGAGACTGAATAATATGTTACTAAATGAGCAATGGGTTAGAGAGGAAATCAAAGGGGAAATTTAAAAATTGCTTGAAACAAATGAAGGCATCAACAAAACTTATCAAAACTTATGGGACACAATCAAGGCGGTGCTGAGGGGAAAGTTCATCTCAATCAGTGCTTATGTCAAGAAACTAGAAAAGCACCAAGTAAATGAGCTAACCTTACAGCTGAAAGAACTAGAAACACAACAACAAAGAATCCCAAGATTAGTAGGAAAAAGGACATCATCAAAATAAGAGAGGAGGTGAGAGGTGCCCCTGCCAAGTGGAATCCGACTAGGGACTCAGGCCAAAGCCACCGCCACAAGGTGGTGGCTGAGTTCTTGGCTTCTCCAGGTTCAGGAGCAACCTTACGTCAGGGTGAATTGCCATGAAGGAAACTTGGAAGCTGGATTAATGTCCTAGCTCCACCCTGCCACCAAAAGCTGGTGGCAGGACAAGTCAGGGTGGATTCTGATCTTGTGGCTGGGGGCGGTCTGAAACCCCCCGCAGGGTGACAGCTGTGGGAGGTGCCCCTGCCAGGTAGAATCTGATTGGGGACTCAGGCCAAAGCCACTGCTGCAGGTTTTTACCATATGAAATAGCTGCTTAGGGATACCCATGAATAAGGCCAGCTTTAGTGTAGGTGAGACATGAATCCCTGGTGATTCCCAGGAACAGGGACATGAAACTTTAGTTCAAGCCTGGGACTGAGACCTGAAGGTTTGGAGGGGAGCGCCCATAAGATCTATTTGAGCCAGACTGAAACACCAGCCAAATTAGGAATCCTCAGAATGGCTATTAGCATAGAGTTCACTGACTGCCACACACCGGTCCACAGCAAAGCTATGGACAGGGTTCTGTCTAGCTGGGCACCATCACACGACTGGGTGGTGGAACAGGGGAATGGTCACATTTGACAGGGTCAAGACACCAGCACGCGACAGAATTTGGTCCGGGAGTAAGCTCTATGGGGGAAGTGTGGGCCTAACCCTGTGGAAATACAAGCCCCGCAGGTTAGTTCACAGGCTGGGGTGGCGAGGGACTAAGCTAGGAGTGATCATGGCACCTGCCATCACTTATGGGTAAAGGAGCCAATGGCATTCTGGGCAGGTCAAGGCAGCAACACCCGAAGGAGCATCCTAAAACAGGATGTGGAGTAGGCCGAGCTGCAACTAGAAGGGGCAGACTGGGCAGGACCAAACAAACTTCAACTCAAAATAAAAAGAATAGAGATCAGGATGGAGCACATGTCATTCCAACCCAGGCTCTTACAACAACTGGTCTACAGGAGGCAGGGATACTATGCCACAGCATTGAGGGCAAAGGCTGAGACAGGTGAGGGCAACACCTGTGGGCCTCATGTGAGCTAGATCGGGAAGGGCCTGATTGGGCTGACTGTTCCGAATGCTGCAAGCAAAATTAGAGTGGACAAATGTTGGTAGGGCTTTACCACTTCACCAGATGGCAGAGACTGGCACCGGGGGCAAATTCTGTTAAGTTAAATGCTAGAATCACCTGGAGAGTGTGCAATCCAGAAGTTGGAGTGGCCTAGTAGGGAGATAGTGGGCACCTCCCTTGTGGGTAACTACTCCCAGTGGAGAGCATGAAAACCAGGACAGGGGCAGGGTTGCTAAACAGAAGAGCACCTGCCAGTATGTGTGTGGGTTGGACAGTGGGCTGGTTGGGTCGAACTAAGCTTCAATGCCCACTGATAAGTACCAGAGCTTAATGGGAGGAGGGACAGACTGAACAAGCCTGTGGTACATACTCGCATACATGGGAACTAGGGAAGGGAGCAGGCCTGGTGGGGGTTATGGGGAATAGCCCCAGCTGGGCTACAGCTCCCACTGGTTTGTGTGAGGACTGAGTATTAAGTGGATAGGCTCAAGATGGACCACAATACCCATTGGTCCAAGTAGATGACAAGGCTGGAAACAGAACTGACCCAGTGGAGACCGGTCACATTAAGCAGGGCCATGAGATTAACAAAAATGCTAGAGAATCATACCTGGTGGAAGATTCTGTGGGGGATGTGTGGGCCAAACCCTGTGGGAATTCTAGCCCCACAGGTTACTTCAAGAGATGGAGTCGTGGTGGACTAAGCTAGGTGTGACCAGGGAACGTGCCATTGACCACAGATTGGAGAACCAATGGCAGTCTGGACTAGTCAGGGCAGTGGCACTCGAGTGTGCATCCTGAGGGGGGCGTAGGGTGGGCTGGACTATAACATTCACCAGCTCATGCAAAGCCAAGAGGAGGGCCGGACTATGCCAGGCACTGGCCTAAAGCCCAGTGGCATGTATGAGAACTGGGTCTGGGAGGGATCGGGGAAGAAACTTGGGAAGCTCCCCTGGCGAGTTATAGCTCCCACTGGTGAATAGGTGGTCCAGACCTGGGGGTTAGACAGGCTGGGCAAAGTAGCACCAACTGCTCATCAATGTATGAAAAGGCCATGGAATGGGTGCACCGGGCAGTACTGAGCAAACCTTGGCCCACAAGTAAGATTGAAAACCAAGGTGGAGTACAGGAGATGCCCAGCTAGGATTTGCCCCAACTGGTCTGCATGAGCCACAGATGCTGAGCCACAGTGTCTAAGGCAGGGGTTGCGACAGGTGAGGGGCTGTGTCAAGCTGAGTCGGAGCAACAACTGGCATGTGTGCAATCTATGGCTGGGAACAGGCCCCGTTGCTGGGCTAGGGGGACACCCTGCTGGGCGGAGGTTCTCACCAAGGGGTGCACGAGCTAGAATGGGGCTGTGTTCTGGTCAGGATGCGGTTGTGGTCTCCCTTGGCACAAGTGTAGAATGGGACAAGACGCACCAGGCCAGGCCAGACTGCAACACCTTCTGGTGTTCTGGAGGACAAGGGTGGATGTGGGACGGACTAGGCTAGGTTTCAACCCCTACTGAGCCATGTGTGAGCTGTATGCGGGTGTGGACAAGCCGTGGCTGGGCTGAACCATCCAACAGCAGGAACCAGAATGGGTTGAAGGCCAGTCAGAAAAAGCCACTGTCCTGTTATTTCAGGAGGTGAACTGAGTAGGGCTGGCTCATGGACCCCCTGGTATGTGCAAAATCTGGCATTGGGAGGTGTTCTGATGGAGAAGCCTGGACAACTCCTCTGACAGGACATGGACCCTACAAATAAGCGCAAGAAGCATGATAGGAAACAGCCCAGAAGAGGTTATGGAAAGTGTCCCTCTGGCATACATTTGGCATGGGTCAGGGGCAGACCAGGCTGAATCAGTTCGCGTCATCCTCTGGCAAATCTGAACACCAGAGCAGAGTGTGGGTCAAGTCAGGTTCAGTAATGACAAAAGCAGTGCACAATAAGGAATGCCAAGCCGAGGCTACCTGTACCAAATGTGACCACAGCACCCGACCAGCACATGTGAGAACCAGGAAGGGAGGGGATGGAGCCGGCAGGGGGAATATGGAAGGGTTCCCTTGCTGGACACCTACTCCCACTGGAGAGCATGAGCTGGATGGGGGCAGACCAGACTGGGCAGGGCTACAACACCTGTGCACCTCATGTGGGTTAGATCAGGGAAAAGTCAGGCTGGGCTGACTGTTCCTACTGGTGCAAACTAAAATTGGAATAGTGAGGTGTTGCCAGCCGCATCTGCATGTACTGGCCACATGCCATACCCAAAATGGCGCTGGCCAGAAAAGCCACACCTTGGTTCCTGATGGAGAGTTAC